CATATCCAAAAAAAATTTCGCTTGATGATGGAACAGAGCTTACTTTAACTCAATTTAATTCAAATAGTTATGTTGAATTTTTGGCTCTTGTTTTGAAACATGAGACCTCTTATGTCGCGAGTTGGAATCATATTTTTTTTAATTATATATATATATATATATATATATATATATATATATATCACTCCTCCTACCCCAATATAAAACATGCTTAAGAGAAATATGAAATTTACCCCTCTCTATAATCTACCTTGTCTCGTTAACTACAACTATCACTCTCCCTGTTAAATTACAAAAATTACACTACTCATCAATTTCTAATCCCATTTTTCCTTTCATTTCGTTGTTGGAAGTGTTACCTGATGATCCGGAGTCCTTCAAAAGATTTTGGTGAAATAAATTATTGTAATGGTACCTTAAAAGTGGTCTGTTTTTTTCATTTTTTTATATATATATATATATATATATATATATATATATATATATATATATATATATATATATATATCTCAAGAACAATATTGTGGGAAAAGTTTTTGTGTGACTCATTTTGTCCTTTAGGATTTCATCAAGCTAAATTTGTTATGTTGGAAAACTGTGTTAATAGCCGACACATTTCGTCCAATGTGGACTTTTTTAAGGCAAAACGAAATGCCTTGAAAATGTCCACATTGGACAAAACTTGTTGGCTATTAATACAGTTTTCCTATTGTCTTTTACCTTTATACATAGAAAAAAAATGTATAGACATCAAAAAATCTATATAACATATGTAGAGACTTCCATGACTAAAACAATAAAGCTCACCTAATATTACTAAACTGTTATGTGATATCTGTCCTCCTATATGACAGTGAGTGCTGGACAATCTCTATGGCGACTTACCTTGTCAAACCAAGTGACAGCACATTGCGTGTATCCTATGATGGAAAATATGGCAAAAAAGAAAGTTACCCAAAAAAGGGGCATGTATTCCGCATGACATGTTGAAGACGAAATATTTAAATTAAAAAACAAGTCCGTCACAAGAATCGCTATAAAAGTATTTTGATATCCAAAAATTGAGCGTCCTCTCCCAGCTGTTGACGAATGGAAAAATGCTCGGCCGATAAAAGCAGTTGGTGTTCTCGAATCGGGTACAAAATTCAGATATTTTGGCTACCGCGTTTGTTGGAAAGTGAGTTCTTTTTCTGACTGGTTGTGTGCATTGTGAGATAGTATCTGTGAATCGAGTCTTCAGCATTTCTTTCTGCCCCTGATATTTGAGTTTGAACTTAGTGATTTATTCTCTGCGTTGTGGAAGTAATCTGCGACAAATATTTCTTTTGAAATCCCAGATCGCTTACAAGCTATTTTGGCACTATGACGGACAAGACATTTGACGTCAAGTTGATACCCGAGTTTGATGGTTCAGTGACCGGACAAGCAGTTACTGAATGGATTGAGAAGGTAGAACTTGTTTGTGACCTGTGTGGAATTAAAAAGTTTTGAACATGTTCTTCCTATGAGGTTGACGGGCGGAGCATTTGTTGTTTTCCAGCAGTTAAACACAGAGCAAAAATCAGATGTTGAGCAGTTAAAATGAGCCCTGCAGATTGCCTTACTTACTTCTTGGCTTACGAGCAGTTCATGGAACGCCAACTGCGCCTGGATGAATCTGTTGATGTGTTTCTAGCTGACTTGAAGAAGCTAGCAGGTCTATTTGGTGGGATATCTGAGCAAGGACTAGCATGTGGGTTCATAGCAGGATTACCAGCATGCGTCAAGTAACTATTGTGCGTGTCTTCCAGGATGGAAGACATGAATACAAACCAACTGTTGGACCGAGCTCGGGCCATAATGAAAGATCAAATTGCAACTGAAGAAATGGTTGTGGCTACCATTTTACCAGTTGGAGCTGATAAACATCCAAATGTTAAACGTCTGGAGGGTATGTGATGCTATTGATGCTCTGAGTGGAATCACTTTTCCAGGGAATGGCCCAGTTTGACAAGAAGGTGCCCGTCAACCACGCCAGTCACGCACAACAATGTGTTGCTACCGGTGTCAAGAAGTAGGCCACATTGCTTCATTGTGTCCAGGAAAAGGAAGGGGACAAGACGTCAGCGCCAGTCTCTTCCCTAAGCGAGTTATGAATGAAGCGCTACCCATCTGGGGTATTTACGTGAACGGAATTAAGAGAGTGGCACTGGTGGATACTGGCTGTTCACAGACACTCGTGAGTAAGTCAGCCTGTCAATCCTGGTGGGTGACGGAGGTGAATATACTTACCATACACGGAAATTCTCTCAAATGTTGCGGAGTTGGAAGTATTAAGATTGACGTGGACAATACAAAACTCCTCAAAATCGAAGTCTTGGTAGTGGATGGAGAGCTACTGGGTTTTGACTTGTTGCTTGGATTCGATGCCATTAAAAAGTTGGGTGGACTCCAAATAACAGAGTGTGGCGATGTACAGTTTCCCAAGCGTGGGATAATGTTGCACCACTATTAAAATAGAAGAACCTGATTTCTGTGCCAAATTCGACCCAAACCGGAAGACATGGGTCGCATCATGGAAGTGGTCTGATGGTCAATCACCAGGGAGTTTGCAAAATTGGATGCCTGAGTACCCAATACCAACGGGGGTCAAGGAGGAATACGACCGTGAGGTGCAGACCTGGCTTGATAACAGTTGGTTGTTAATTTCACTTTTTCAGGAAAAGAAAGGAAAAATAAAAAAACATCTAATAAAACAGGTTTACCCACTAAAAACTAAAATAACATTCATAGAAACATGAACTTGTGTTATACTAATGTGTTAAGTATTTAGTTGTCTGGAGTGGGGCAGGGGGCTAGCAACTCTGTGTGTGTCTAATTTAAAAAATAATAGCCAGCTATTTGTTTTCTGAGCACACCTATCTGCTTGGCCCACTGACCACTCTGTTGCAGACATCTGCTCAGGCACATTTGTGTTGACTTGACACCCACAGAGCCCACCTGTGGTTTATATTGCAACTATGCTGAGTGGACATTGGTTACTATTTCTGAGAGATAGCACATTATCTATCATGATCAACATTTTGAACAAGGCAAGTACATTCAAATTCTCAGGCACAATGTTATGTGACATTGTGCTAGCACCAAACTTGGCAACCTCATAACGGTTTCATTTGCCCAAATTCACTGACAAGGCTTGGGTTAAACTGTGGTATGGTTTTTCAGACACCTTTCCAAAAGTGATGCATGATGGGACCACCAGTATGTGCATATACAGACATACCCCAAGTATATTATCACTTCTATGGTACATTGCTAGATTAATCCATTAGCAATGGGTGTTGGTAATTTCTCTCATTGCAGTTCTTTTGCTCAGCTGAAATGTTAGAAATTTACATCTTTTTGTCACATGCACACACACACACACATATAAAAAAAATATTCACAGAAAAAACAAACTACTAAAAATCCTTATATATACAATTATGCTGTTTTTAATGTTAATATGTCAGCGACAAAAAATTTATGTATAATAAGAACATGTTGTATTGATAATTTATAATTTATGAATATGTCCTGAAGATGGTTTATTAGACCTAAACGTTTTACATTGACATATATTAACATTAAAACAGCATAATTGTAAATAAGGATTTTTGTTTGTTTTTTTTCAGTATATATTTTTTCTTCATATTGTCGGATCTATATCATATATTTCTTATATATTTGCTTATGTATGTGTGTGTGTGTGTGTGTGTGTGTGTGTGTGTAAAATAATGATAATAGAGGCATAAAGACACTTGCATTTATCTTACCCTTTTATTGTATTTACTTGCCCTTCACGTTTTTTTCAAGGCAGCTGCATCATTGAGCACTTTTTTATATTTTTTTTTTTGGTATGGTGTTTTTTTTTTTCCAGCCTCTTAACTAATTTTATATATATATATATATATATATATATATATATATATATATATATATATATATATATATATATATAATAAGCACACACAGAAACAATTTCTATTTATTAATTACTGTTGCATTTAGCAAATGACAGCAACAGAGCTGCTCTTGTTGCAGTTTATGTTCTGTTTTTTCTAACTGAGCTCAATACAAATTCTTTTTGACATTTCTGCAGAATGATTCCATGATCATGATTGGAAGTTTTTGTTTTTTTTTCTTTTCCTTTTCTCCTGACTTGATATTTGTGTACCAATTCTCTGGACATTATGAAGACAAAATAAGAATCCATGCTATCAGCTCCATTTGTGGATGCCTTGTGACTCTGTCAGTTATAAGAATTTCAATTATGCTTTTATAAAAACTATCTGAATTTTTAAAGTAGGAGAGGACAGCTAGATCATAACACATCTGAATATGAATGTTGACTTTAGATATAAACTATTTTTATCAGAGATCATGAGGAATTGATGTTAAGTAAACATTCATTTTCAGAAGAACTCTATGCCTCCTTTTGGGGTACAGTTACACACTGAAACAGGTTTTCTAAGCTTGTAGGTGAAACAAAAAAACAAACTCCAATCGATCCATTCATGTAATTATGTGAGTTTGTATCAATTAGTTTGAAAGATTTCTTTGCCTTTTCTTTACATCCTAATTACTTGTTTTAGCCTTCAATTAGTACTGATTAAAGCTTTGCCATTTAAATCTTTTCCAAGTGTGTAACATAGACATCAGCTGTTGTAAGAAGCTACTCATCTTTGTCTTCAAAGTGAATGAAAAAGTTCAGACAATAACTTTAAATTGCCTAATCACAATTGTTTATTGATCTCTTAATGCGAGTTTTTGATTTAATCAGCACTTTTTGGAATTGTTTTGAATCTAATATTTCAACTTTATTTTTTTTTTTTTTTTACCTCAAAGTTAGTTGCACAGGTTAGAATGAATAATTTTGAGTAGAACATTTGAAGCTAAAATTTAAACATTTTTATTAAATGACTTTAGAATTAAAGAAAAAAAAAGTTGTATCTTCATTATCCTTTCAAGTATCGGATACAATGTTCTTTATGGGTATCTTTGTTGGTCCCTTTATCTGTCCATAAATTTGAGCTTAATCAAATAACAAAAACTGCATCACTTGAATACTTCCAATAGCAACAACAAAAATACGTACCACATGTAACTATATGGGGAAAATAACAATATAATCAAGATGTCAAGTTTCTACACTACCAAAAACAAAAACTTAGAAAGGAAAACTCCTATCAATATTACAAAGCATTACAAGATTTAATGAACTTGAGAAGTCTAATTTCCTGAAAAATTCTTTTAATAAAACTAGTTTTATAAATTCCAATGCACAAAAGTGCTTAACTGTTCTGTTAAGGAATGCAGAATGTTTCCTATATGGAAACTGTTCATTTTACCATTGCCATAGATACATAAATTCTCTTTATTGACTAGCTAAGCATATATATTATGTAGTTAGAAATTTAACTACAGCCAAAATGCAGTGCTGGTTAACTGACTAATGACTTTTATTGAGTAAAACCACGTTTTTTATATATATATATATATATATATATATATATATATATATATATATATATATATATATAATAATTTTCACATCTAAATTATCTATTTCAGCTAGATTACCAACATGAAATTTTTTAAGAATTGTAGAAATGTCTTAAAAAAAATATATATATATTCACATGATTCATTTTTGTTTGTTAGAATTAACAATGGCTTTCTACAGACCTAATGGTAGGAACATATCGCTAACATTTACAAGGAATTTATATATTTGATGAAAGTTCTGATAAAGTAGTGTTCTGGTTGGCATAACATTGTTTTGGTTACAACTGGTAATAGTCTACATTTTTGTCACTAAATAAAAACTAAAATTTATTGAATTGGCAGACAAAAGCTAAATGCATATAAATTGCTTTTTTATATGCTTAATTGTTTGTACCAGTTTTAGATCATAAGGACTGTTTATTTAAAATCAAGTGTCCATTTAGAATCATAAATAGTTTTGAATGAAATGGAAATTAAAAAAAACAATTGCTTGTATATAATTGCTGTTAATGATATTAATTTAAACTAAATTATTCAATCCTTTACTTTTTAACATTTACAATGCTGGATGACTGCATGGTTGTGCTGGCCTTTTTTTTGGCAGGGGGAGCAAATTGTCATGTACTGGAAGGTAATTTCTCATGGGTGCTACCATTGTTTTCAGATGAAGTTACTGACACCTCCCAATACACAATATATCAGGAAAACAGTTTGCATTATACACTACTGTATGTTTACACTGACTTGCAAATAGCACTAAGGGACCAGCATTTCATGGTGTCACTCACACACATGTTGGAGTAACAGATAGATCTTGGATTAAGAATTCGGTGAGCAGAGTTTGAATTCCAGTTGAGCTTGTTACATTCCCTTATGTTCAAATGTGTTTTGGAAAGGTATGAATCCATCTCTTCTCACCCCAGCTTTGGGTAAATAGAAGGACAGTCAGTTATTTGGGGACATTTTGGCACACTCTGTACCAGTTCTCTCTAATCAAATCATATGTGCAGGTAGTCTGGCAGTTCTATTTTAAGAACTGATCCCCTCTATCTATCTATCTCTATCTCTCATATCTATATCTCTCTCTCATCTATATCCATCTATCTATCTATCTCTCTATCTATCTATCTATATCATCTCATCTATCTATCTCTATCTATCCCATCTATCTATCTATCATCTATATCCATCTATCCATCTATCTATCTCTATATCCATCTATCTATCCATCTATCCATATATCTATCTATCTCTATATCCATCTATCTCTATATCTATCTATCCATCCATCTATCTATATCTATCCATCTCTATATCCATCTATCTCTATATCCATCTATCTCATATCCATCCATCTCTATATCTATCCATCCATATCTATCTATCCCCATCCATCATCTATATCCATCTATCCCCATATCCATCTATATCTATCCATCTCTATCCATCCATCCATCTATCTCTATATCTATCCCTATCTCTATATCTATCTATATCCATCTATCCATCCACATCCCATCCATCCATCCCCACATCCATCCATCCATATCCATCCCCATCCATCCATCCATCCCCATCCATCCATCCCCATCCATCCATCCCATCCATCTATCATCCATCCCTATCCATCCATCCATCCCCATCATCCATCCCATCATCCATCCATCCATCCCCATCCCCATCCATCTATCCATCCCATCCATCCCCATCCCCATCCATCATCCATCCCCATCCATCCATCCATCCATCCCATCCCCATCCCCATCCATCATCCATCCCATCCATCCATCCCCCCATCCATCTATCATCTATCCCCATCCATCCCCATCATCCATATCATCCATCCATCCCCATCCATCTATCCATCCATCCATCCATCCCCATCCATCCATCCATCCATCCATCCCCATCCATCCATCCATCCATCCATCCCCATCCATCCATCCCCATCCATCCATCCATCCATCCCCATCCATCTATCCATCCATCCCCATCTCCATCCATCCATCCATCCATCCATCCATCCATCCATCCATCCCCATCCATCCATCCATCCCATCCCCCATCCATCCATCCATCCCCATCTCATCCATCCATCCATCCCATCCATCCATCCCATCCATCCTATCCATCTATCCATCCATCCCCATCCATCCCCTCCATCCCCATCCATCTATCCCATCCATCCATCCATCCATCCATCCATCTATCTCTATCCATCCATCCCTATCCATCCATCCCCATCCATCCATCCCCATCCCCATCCATCCCCCATCTATCCCCATCCATCCATCCCCATCCCCATCCCATCCCATCCCATCCATCCATCCATCCCCATCCATCCCCATCCATCCATCCCCCATCCATCCCCATCCATCCATCCCCATCCATCCCCATCCATCTATCCATCCATCCATCCATCCCCATCCATCCATCCATCCATCATCCCTCCATCATCCATCTCTATCCATCCATCCCTATCCCATCCATCCATCCATCCATCCCCATCCATCTCCCATCCATCCATCCCCATCCATCCCCATCCATCCATCATCCATCATCCCCATCTATCCATCCTATCCATCTCCATCCATCCATCCATCTATCTCTATCCATCTATCCCATCTCATCCATCTATCTATCTCATCATCTATCTATCCATCTCTATCTATCTATCTCTATCTATCTATCTATCTATCATCTCTATCTATCTATCCATCTATCTATCTATCTATCTATCATCTATCTATCTCATCATCCATCTATCTATCTATCTATCTATCTATCTCATCTATCTATCTATCTCATCTATCTATCTATCTATCTATCTATCTATCTCATCTATCTATCTATCTATCTATCTCTATCTATCTATCTCTATCTATCTATCTATCTCTATCTATCTATCTATCTGCTCTACTTACTGTATTGAGCACTTTATTTAGTTATTTTGCTTACTCGTATCAGGGTTTTTTCTTTGGACTTGCATGCTAGACAATTATTTTCGGCTAACGTACATGTTCTTGGTTCTTTCTTTTTTTTTTTTTTTTTTTTTTTAATAACTTTTTTTTTTATACCTTCCCCCCCCCCCTTTGGTATTGGTTTGATTATTCGCAAATCAAGACACCAAAGGTTTCGGATTTAGTATAATTTCTTATACTTATAAGATTATTATAATTACTATATATATATATATATATATATATATATATATATATATATATATAAAATCTCAAACAGGCAAATTTCATAAAGATGCAAGTACATTCACAGTAGTAAAAGTGTCAATCGCTTACTCTAACAACTGTTTTATTTCATGACTTTAGCCCTGTCAATTCTATTCTTGTTGTGAAGACCAAATACTGATGTAATGTTAGTTATATAAATGAAAGTTTAATGTTTACTTAGTTGGCATGAACAGGGTTAGAGGTATGGATGCAGGAATATATGCAAATTAAATTTTAACTTAAATACTATAAAAATTGTTCAAAATACTGGGTATTCAGAGATAAGTTTTTTTATTTATTCAATTTAAAATTTTTTGAAAAATTTCTTTATTTTCACTTGCACAGTCATTATACAACCATATATTGACTACATTGTTGTTTAATACCAATTTTTATGTACAAGGTTATAATAATTAAAATTTGACAAGTTTTCAAGTTTTGACACATTATAGAATTTTATAGAAATTTCTCTAGATTGTTTTACTTCGAAAATTGGTATTGTAAACAGGGAGACGTTGGCTTTGAATAGTATAAAAGCAAAATGGTAAAAGTTAGATAAAAGTTTTTATTATTTTCATTGATTTCTGTTGTATACACATTTCCTTTTGGGTCCCAACCAGAGATCTGAAATCAGAAATGGCTTCATATCTTCCACTGATCAAAAAAAATAGAAGAAAAACTAAGGCCACACACATTTTACATACATAAGGCTCTTCATAATGTCTGAGCTATAGTTGTGAATGCAATTTTTTTGTATTTCTTTAAGGCATGGGCTACCAGGAATACCTTTAATGAGTCTACTGGAACCTTTTTCCAATCCACCCGAGGGCTCCAACTACAACTGTAATTATCAATGTCCTCATGTGCCACATTTTTGAGATTTCCACTTCAAGATCCTTGTATTTTGATAGTGTTTTAAAGATATTCAAAGATACATTACAATTTTCAGGGACTGCCATGTAAATAAGAAAGCACATTGGTTTTTTTTTGGGTTTTTTTTTTTTTATTGCAATGTCTGGGTGATTAGCTTTGATTGTTCTGTTTGTGTGTATTATAAAGTCCCATAAAATTATTACACATCCTATCTCAATAGCTGGGTCTACATGATATTCATACCAATTTTTGCAGTTTCCTTCCTGTAAAAGTGGCATATTTTCCAGTGCAGATATTGGCCCACTCTATCATGCCGAGTTTTATATTCAGTTGGTGCTAACACTGTGAAACCTGATACAAGATGGTCAATTGTTTCTGGATATTTATCACAGAATCTGCATGGAGGGGGGGGGTCACTGCAATTTTTCAATATGTGTTCTTGGTAATTTCTACTTAGCAAGCATTGGTCCTGTGCAGCAAGAATAAAACCTTCAATTTCAGCTTTTAACACTGCACTACGTAACCACTAATGGGTATTATTATTATAATAATAATAATTTGAAAAATGAATACCATATATACTCGCATATCATGTGACTATTGAAAACCTAATTTTAAGTGGGGTCAAATCATACTTGAGATATAAAATTAGTGTATGTACTGCTGGCTCTGCTGTTGACCAAACTATATATCCATTTACTGTAGTCAAATTAGCTTCAAAATTAGGTTTTCAAATATCGCCTAATATGCTAATATATACGGTAAGTTGAAAAAATGGCCAACCATAGACACTATCAAACACATATTTGATCATCTTATAAAAATAAGCAAGAATTTTTCAGTTATAGACTCCAGCAAAGATTTGTCTCAAAGTTTATGCAATTATTGATCATTTAAAAGAAAAAGTAGGATGTAAGCTAAGATGTGAATTTCTTGTAAAAGTTGTATTCTTATGTCAAAAAAAAATGAAAATGTAATTTTAAAGAATCTCTTATCTTGGAACATTACAGGAATTAATAAGAATCTCAAAATCCATTTTTGGTTTCTTCAGTTTAATTAGCTTTTGACTTTATTAAAAAAAAAATTACTATAATATGAGCTTAATATTTATTATTAAACAACTCAACATTATTTTTCATGATTTGTTTGGATTATTGAACTCATTTTTTTCTATTATTATTATCAGTGTTTCAGCCAGTACCTTCTGCAACCTTCAATTTTTATCATGGCTTTGCAAATTAACATTTAGGAGGTTTTATGTCTATGTAAAATTGATTTTGTTTTATTTTTTTTTTACAGCTTATCAACCTGTTGCTGGTTATTTAAATCCAGAAAATATTTTTAGATTGTAAGAATTTTATGCAGACAATGATTTATTGATAAAATCTTACTAATTAACCTATAGCTGAGGGTATAAGAGGGTATTTGCACATGTGAATGTAACAAACCCAACTGGAATTGGAATGTAGCTCTCCAATTTCCATTTCCAAACCATTATCCATTATGCCACCTGCACATCTAAGCTTACAGCACCTGGTATTCCCAAGCAGTCACTCATCTAGGTACTGACTAGGTTTGATGTTGCTTAACTTTCGTGATCATACGAGAATCAGTGTTTCAATGTGATATGGCAATAAGCTCTGTCTAGTGTAGGATTGTTAATGGCTTGTCAAGACATGCAAGTTTTTTTCATATCCACTGTCAGAGAAGGTCTGGCAACTCAAGGGAGCTTAGGTTTTATAGGCTTCCTCTTTTCTTCTGTTCTCACTCTGCAATTTGCTTCAGATGGGGCAGATGTTTTGAAGACTTATTGCCAGCTTTCATTGTTCATTAGCAGTCATCTATTTCAAATGAAGGTCTTTTCAAAGAAATGTTTCTTCTGTAGGAGTCTTCTGCTCTACTGGTTAAAGACTACTTTGCCAAGCAGAAAGGTCTTTGGAAAATGATCTTTGCAACATTGTCCACTTAATGGAAATGAATCTTTTTGTACCACAGCCTCAGTGTGTGTAGCTCTGTCAATCTCTAGTTTGTACAATGGATTTGCCAAGTTTCCTGGGGTTCCCACTGTTCCAGATATGCTTGTGAAGTTTACTGAAAGAAAGAAATAGCTAATATAATTCATACCTGGCAAAATAAGATACTATATGTTTCTATTCAATGCCATTCACTCTTCCTTTTTATAAGAATTGTTTACCCAAAGAAAGCTGTAGAATGTATGGGCCAAAATATAACAGAATCAAAAAACAATTCAATAATGCTAATAACTCTTTGAATAACATCTAAAGTATTGATCAGATGTTGATGCTTACATATATTGGATGTAATTTTAACAATGGTACTACCAAATATTAGATATAACATTTTTATTTATTTGTATTTATTTTTATTGTTTGTATTTTAGTAAAGTAATCAATTTGTGTATGATATATATTTTCCCAAGTCATTTTTCTTTCATTTCCTTGCTTCTGTCTGTTAACTCTTGTATGCTTTGTACAGTTGATACAGAATACGATAAACAACAATGTTGAATGGACGCCCAGAGTATACACATCTTACGAGGTGACTATGAACATCCTCCACATACCACTGCTGTACTGGTTAGCTAGAAAGTCCACTTTGCAAATATTTACAATGCTTTTTGTTTCTTTCCTCCTGTTGATCAATCCATACCACTTAATGCACACAAGCCACCCTAACTCCCCTCTCAGCCTCTTCTGGCCACCCAGGCATATTAATGTCTTCATATATAATGATAATCATTTGTGTTGATGCAAGTGAGTATTGTGCTGTATTGTTGCTACTCAGTAATTTATTTAGACCAGTGTCCTCATTGATTTATAATGAATATTTCATAAAAGATTAAGTACTGCTTTTATATATTTTATATATATATATATATATATATATATATATATATATATATATTGCAGATTTTGAAAGCTCACTTTCAAAATCTGTTGACAGAATACTTGTTACATTTGAGATTTACTGATTCTATAATAAAACACTTCTGGCTCTGACTCCTGTCGATTTAAAAATAACTTTTTAGATAAAGAAATATCAAACTGTAACTGAGATAAAATGAAGTCCTGTTTCCTGTATCATTCCCTAGACTCTGAAACTAAATAAAGCCGATTTCTGATAACTGATTCCTTTTGAAATTGATTATTGACTATGTGTGATTTGTGGTGTACCATGTTGGTGCTTGTCATAGTCTCTGCCATTTCTCTTGCTATGGGTGGAAAATGAGCAAACCTTTGCATTTCATGGTGAATATACCTTGTCTGCCTCAACATCACCGACTCTCTTCTGCTCCTGCCTTTGATTCTTTTCAAGTGCCAACCTGCAAAGAGCATAAAAATAAAAAATATATTTGTGATGCTTTTTTTTTCTTTTTCTTTTTTTTCTGGTAGGTGAGTTGGGAAGTAATTTATTCCATTATACTTTCTATACCTGTGGTTACTGCTGACTTGGTTAATCTATATTCAGACTATTTGCCTTTATTACATGCTTAATTTGCACGTTTTACTACACTTCACAAATAGTGGGTTAAGTATACCCCCTTAATATAAGTATGCATTATGGTTACTTCCATTATCTGCACATTTCCAGATTACTCTTGAGGTAGCACTTGCTTAGACTCTCTTTGGCATACCACGGTGTTAAAGCAATTCAAATAAAAAATCTTTGACATTTTAATTCTTGGATAAGAGTTAAGAACATAAAAACCAACTTTGTAATGTTTTTTTGTTTTTTTTTATTATTGGGAGAAAAAAAATCTCAATATGTAGTCAATGGGTTGGATGTAGCTCAACTATAGTACAGGACTCTCAAAGGGACGCAAGTTTTTTTTGTGTTCTCTTTTCATCATTATATAGCTATGACAATGGTCATTTATTAAATCTTTGAAATATTACTTGGAGTTTCTCCCTGTCCACTTCTAAATTGATTTAAACTGTTTTGGTGATATAATTCCATTGTTTTGAGACTGGTATCCTTATATATATTTTTGTATTAGTTAAATCTCTGACCATCCTTAGGTGTATACTCACATTTGAATATCTTCAAAAGGCTTTCAAAAGAATCCTTTATTGTACTTTTTCTTTTTCACTTTTTCAACATTTCACTTAAGACGAGTTTCAGGTCCAAAAATCAGATTTCTGCTATACCTCTGTCTAATAAAGTTACAAGCAAGGCAATACCTTCTGTTCTGTAGAAGTCAAATGACTTACCTGCTAACATGGCAGACCACTTGTAAGCTAACCAAAGCACCATGGAGGTTATCAGATGACAGGGTAAATCATCCATTGTTGTGATCAAAACAATAAGTGTAAGGATACGTCTGAAAATTTTGCCATATAACTTTTTAATTTTAATATTTCAGTATTATGTGAGTAAACAAAATCTATTGTAAAAATGTCTCAGAGTCTCATTAAAATAATACTTTAATATGTTTTGAGTAAGACATGATATCAAGAAGGAATTCTAAAAAAAAAAACCATGAAAAGCATTTAATCTTAGTATTTGCCTGAATATAGTCTGGGTGTCTCATGTCTAGTTATGGCAATCTGTAACAACAATTGTTAGTACAGTGAGTTCAATCCTTATTGGGTGCCCCTAATGTAGCCCTGTATCAGATTATGCTTAACAAATATGTACTCCTCAAAGATAATCTTCCCAGAGATAATCAAAAGTTAATAAAAATATATATATATATTATAAATTGATTTATTTAAAATGTTTTTTTTTTCGCTACACAGTTCTAACCACGTTTCAAAAATGAAAGTTAAAAGCTATCTTACTGTTCTTTTTTTTTTTATATATATATATATATATATATATATATATATATATATATATAGTCTTAAGGTGTGCTCAATATCAGAGATAGAGCATGTGTAAATATAAAAGTGAACATTAAGTCAACACTTAGGCGACAGTCTGTTTCATGCTACACACAATCATCAGGCCACGAGTCTGACGATTGTGTGTAGCATGAAACACTGTTGCCTCTAAGTGTTGATTTCAATGTTCAGACACACACACATATATATATATATATATATATATATATATATATATATATATATATATATAATGCATTGGAATAGGATTGAACTCTTTACACCATAATTCAGTTTTTATTTCAAATCTATTTTCATAAAATGAATTACCTATCAGAAAATTGAATTAAAATGAAGATGTTGGTCTAAATGAATTGGTTATTTTATTTATTTTTTTTAATTTAAAAAAAATTACAAGCCTAAATTTCTTGCTGCCTGAGACACTGACTAGTCAAAAACACATCAGCTTTAATATTTACATACATAAAATCAATTGCATCTTTTCAGCACTTACACCTTCAGTGTATTAGTAAATTGTTTTCTTTGTGTTTATTTTATTAAAGATTTTTTCTTTTTGGAATCTTACAAATTTGAAAGAATATTTTTTTAATTTGATTTTGATAAAAGTACTTTCAGGATTGACAGGTAAGATACTTTCTATATTTTTTTAATAATTATTCTGATAAGTCTTACCTAAGTTACAATAATAAACACCAATATGTATTCTTGCACCTTTTAAAACTAATATTTCCAAAATACTAAAGAACTATGTTATGGTTTTCTTCATAATATGGATATAGACCTACACAGATTCTAATAAGATTTTCTTTGTGATAATACCTGAATACAACAGCAAAAGACATTTTTATGAGAGGACAAATGTTGTTGACAATTGTTAATCAGCCATCTTTGAATTACATCATTCAATCTACCACTTGTAATTCTTGCTAGACTTTTCTGTATGTTAAGGCAAAAGCCTTAATACATTGCCGTTTAGAAAATGTGGGCTTTTATTTCTACTGTTCTAATTTAAAACGTCTAAAGAAAGTGTCCATAATTAACTTTGTAAATTAATATAGTTTTTCAGTTTTTTGTTTAATTTTATGTAAACTTTGTATGTGTGTATACACACATACACTCAAATATAGTGCAAAGTTTTATGATGAGTTTTTTATGCAAAATATAGAGGTTGCTCTATATACAGGTAATTTTTTTGAAGACGTTAAAAATCATGCATTTTCTGTGACTGGTTGAACTATACACGGGTAAAAAAAATTTTCTGGAGGGGTTAAAATTTCCCCCTATTAGTGAGTTGATGTGTGCTTATTATGTACACATCTACCTTCATTATAACATCTGGAACTTGCCAAGTGGAGTAAAAAAAAAAAAAAAAATTGGAAATTCTGCAGAAGCAAGGTTCTATTTTTCCTAAAAATGGAAAATAGAACCTTGCTTGTTGTATCGTTCTCCAGGTCTGATTATTATAGCACACAGGATCAAACAGCAGTTTTCCTTACAAAGAGGGCTGCAAATTTGATTCCTGCTAAGAAACACATTTGCCTTTACTAAGATTTCTCGAATGTGCAGACCAATAGATGTAATACACACAGTCTTATTAAATAAAAGTGGGGTGTCTATTTCAAATATGGAGTATCCACTATAATAATGTTTGAATTAATAATAACATTGAATTAAAAAATTAAAAATAAATCCATTTTTTATATATATATATATATATATATATATATACTAGATTGGGCAAGAAGTCTCAATTCACTTAGGAAGCAG